CACACTGACCCCCTCATTTTTGTCCCCGCCCCAGAGCCTAAGGGGGTATCCATAAAATCCACCAACTCCGGAACCCCAGAAAAATAAATCTGGCCTATTGGAAACTGTGGCGGGGCCCCTCCCGCCTACCCTCTTAAGTCCAAGGCCCTCTGCCCTGAGTCTAGAACACAGTTTAAAGTTGTAGCAGGGACGCACCCCTGGTAGGGGGGCCTGGGCCCACCCTACTCCACCGGGTCCCGTCCCAGGGCCTTGTGCGCGCCGAAAGGCACCGAGGTTCTCTGGGCGGAAGAGGAGGCTCCTGCTCCTGCCCTGGGCCACACCTACCTGGTTCCCTGGGGTTCCTTCCCCTGTACTCGCCCAGCTTGCTGCAACCTCCAGGCCGGCGTCTCCTCGGCAGGCAGTCCCTAGGTCGCACCAGTTCACCTCCACGTCCCCTGCGGCCTCTCCTGGAGTCTTGGGCAACAGCTGTGCGGGAGCCCTCTTCATAGGTCCTTCTCCTCCAGCTGACTTTCCAGACTGAGTCCTTCCCCAGGCTTTTATAGTGGAGCTACAGCCTGGGCATGTTCTGTAGGGCTGCGGGGTAGGGGCATCTGCAGCCAGGTAACCCTGGCTGGGCCCTTCAGGTTCAGTGCGGGGCTGCCTTGCCCCGTCACAGAAATCCTGAATCTCAGTCCTCCCTGTCCCTTCCCCTTGTCCCGTGGGCTGAAGTGCCAGAGGAGTGAGGTCTCAGCTGGGGACCACATCAGTGAGGGTTGGAGGTTTTTGGAGGAGTTTTTTTTGCTTCTTGCTTGTGTGTTCCCCAACTGATTTTTCTGTGGGTTGGTGACCCCCAACCCAAAAAAGTTTTCCTACTCCTGCCATAAATAAAACTTTGAAACCTTTTGTGTTGGACATCAATTAATATTTTACTTAGTTTATCAAACTTCATTTTAAATAAACATGAAAAAGTTAAAACACTTAATCTGTTTAATAATTTAACTTAAAACGTTCTTCCTAGCTGAAGCACTTGCAAAATGGCTCAGGCATAATTATGTAATTAATGGTGAGTCTCCATTAACATCTAGTGGAAAGGTTTATTTTGAGCCAGGTTGTTCACAGGCCAAAAAGTTTGAGAACCACTGAAATAGAGGTACCTCCAGCCTCTCTCTGCCCCGAGTTAATATAGTCCAACTTGGGTTAATGCATTTGCAGTATAGTTTCATGGGGAGGTCCTGTGGGGCCCAAACTGATCCCTATTGGTAGAGGACAGTGGGAAGAGGTCTTGGGGGGGGGGGTGTCACACAACATTCTTTACTTTCAGTCATGTGTCTATCTTGACCCCGGAAGTACTGCCTCCAGAGGTGGGACTTCCTATGGCAGGCAGGCATGGCCTAAGGAGTGTGTATGATGGGGTCAGTGGATGTGACTGATGTGTCCCCATTTTTGGTTCAGAAAATATGATCACTGTATTTATGATTCTTGTTGGGTGGCTTTATTACAGTGCTGTAATAAAGAGTTTTGGTGGAAAAAGTTTGGCAGGTCAGTGTGGACGCCTCTGTTTATTGCCAAAAACTGACTTGACTTAGAAAAATTCCCAGTGTCATTTTTCTAGTGGCTTCAAGGGGGAGGTGGGCTCAGATAGTCTTTGCCTTTATGTCCTCCTGGCTGGTAAGGAGATCTACCCATCTCTCAGCTTTTATTTTTCTTCATGGAAAGAAGCTCCACTGCCTGTTTCTGGTACTCTATAGCTTTTGTAGGGAATACAGAGTATGTGTTAACAGCTTTATTGCTGCCAAGAGGATTCTGAATAGCAGCACTGGTACTGATCAGTCAGTTAATTTCACTGTACAGTTTGGCAAAATTGAGATACATTTTTACAACATTTTATATAAATATTTAAAAAATAACTAGTGCATGTGGTTTTATTAGGTGAAAACTTAAACTGAAAAAAAAGGATGACTTAGTTTCCACAGTTTGCTGGGGAAAGCTAGCTATCTGCCACTTACCATTACAATTCTCCTCAACTCTTCTTTTGTTTATTTAGGACTATAGCTGTCTAGAAGAAATCAGAGTATTTCTTGCATCCTATATATGATAACATGAGACATTAAAATACAAATGTAAATATCCTGAATTCTTGATGGCACCACCTTCATTAAAAGTAACATTAGTAGCAAGAGCTTAACTGTTTATTTCCAAACTACAGAGATTTTGTACGTTTTATTTTTTCTCTTTAAATATAATTTTCAGTGTGCTAGCCTTCTGTCTCTCTTAGCTAAAACTTGTTAGTTCAAGGGATTTTATGCCTATATACAGTTTTATACAGTTTATTCATATAAACATTTTAAGGTGGTGATGTGGAAACAGTCAGTACTTAATATTGCATAGTAAATATATACTACGTGCATTTTGCAAAGTCCCCCTCTCAAATTCTTTCTGCAGTATTAGTAGTTCAGTTTCTTAGTTCATTTTATCACCAGTGGTTTGTAACATTTCTAAAATATGGGTTTAGATTGTGCGGAGAATCTCTGGCACACCACTTAATTTCATCTGGCCTGCAGCAAATCTGATTGCGGGCTGGAAGCCCTGGCATGTCCCTACGGACCCTAGGCACAGAGGAGATCAGGGAAGATCCGTGTGCTGCTCCTATCTCCAGTTCTGGTTCCACAGATCTCATTGTTCGGGAACATGGCCAGTGAAAGGTGCAAGGAAAGAGCCTATGAGTGTGGGCAGTGCCATGTGGCCCCTTCACTTAGGGGTTGACCATGAAAACTGCTTTTGGGAGCAGTGGGAGGCCAGTGCTGGCAGGGGGTCTGCCTTAGCCCCGCTGCACTGCTGACTGGGAGCTGCCTCAGGTAAATGCTGCCTAATTGGGACTCCCTTCAAGAGCCTGCATCTCCACCCCAGACCCTCTACTTAGGTTGCAGCACCTTCCTACACCCACCCCTATGCTCCAGCCCTGTGCCCATTCCCATGTTTGAAATCCCTTGGCTCTAGCCAAGAACCACCATCTGCACCCCAAAGGCCACATTTCCATTTGGAGTCTCCACCCTATCAAACATCTCAATGTACCCTGAACTCTTCTTTTGTGCCCCCCAACTCTCCCTGATAAAGTTTTTAGGCATGCAGCTACAATTGAAATGGAAGGTAATTGTGTAGTTAAATTCTTATTTGACTTTGAAAATCTCAGCCATAGTAAATAAGGATTTTAACAATAGTTACTCATAGTAAATAAATACATGTTGAACCTCGCTAGTTTGGCAACCTTGGGACCTGATTGGTGCTAAACCATAGAATTTGCTGAACCACGAGAAGTTTTAGGCATGCAGCTACAATTGAAATGGAAGGTAATTGTGTAGTTAAATTCTTATTTGACTTTGAAAATCTCAGCCATAGTAAATAAGGATTTTAACAATAGTTACTCATAGTAAATAAATACATGTTGAACCTCGCTAGTTTGGCAACCTTGGGACCTGATTGGTGCTAAACCATAGAATTTGCTGAACCACGAGAAGTCAATATTGTCTAGCAGCATTACCAATATTTTCACTGCTTACTGGACTCTTAGAAGACATGTAGGGTGAATTAAACTGGTCTACAATTTTTTAGAAGTCATTTGCTTCAGAGATAAAATGTGCTATTTATTATGTATTTTGATGTGCTGAATTCAAATATGACAATTAAAACAACTGATTGGCTACTGTTGCCAAGATAAGATTTTACATTTTACGTCTATGTATATTGTGTAGATAGTAGAGTTTTAATCATAAATTGTAAACCTAGGTCTTTTCATGTGTTTATGGTTGCTTTACATGATATTTCACCTGTCCTGTTTATGTAACACTTCAAAAATCAGCAAAAGGGTTATATAAATAAAATGTATTATGAAACAAAAGGCAAAAAACTATTATGTACATAGTTTAGTCCTATTCAGTGTCTACTTGGCGCTTCTTGGCTTGTCTCTTGTATTCATTAAATGGATCATCTCTTGTCACTGTCCAGCAATAGTCTGCAAGCATTGATGGGCTCCATTTGCCCTGATAGCGTTTCTCCATTGTTGCAATGTCCTAGTGAAATCGCTCGCCGTGCTCGTCGCTCACTGCTCCACAGTTCGGTGAAAAAACATTTAGATGAGAGTGCAAAAACTTCTAGATGAGAGTTCAGTGACCCAGAATTAGTAAAGTTTGACTACATTTATTTCAGAAGCATTTTGGCTGTAGAGCAGTGTTACAGCTAAATAACAGCACAAAACACTGAAGCAGGATCCATGGCTGTAAACAAACTTCATGAGACTGCAGGTAGCTTGGCCATACCCATGATAAGTGGATATCCAGCTAAACTAAAATCATGCCAGATCATGGATGTTATCAGATCAAAAAGCACTGGATTAGAGAGTTTTATCCCTGTACATTTTTTTCTTGGTTATTAGTGTTCAGTGTGGATGTTTCAGCATCATGCTTCATGCAGTTGCAGGTCCAGATGCACTAAATTGAATAGCATGAAGCAGAACCATACTTCAGATATTTACAAAGATATTTTTGTTTGGAGATTTAGTATAACATTGTCAACTGACTATTCCTGTTGGCAAGTGACAAAATCAATCATTACAACAATTGTCTCGTGAAACAAGGCTTATAGGATCTGCCGACAAAGGGTTCTGGAGTCGGCAGATCCCCGTCTAGACTGCCATCGACGGAGCCATGTAGTTTAGACGTACCCAAGGATGCATTTTCAGAAATGCTCTGCATTGGCCTCACTTTGCTCTTATTGAAGTCAATGGTTGACTTGAATGAAAGGAGAGTTATTCCAGTTCTGAGAGTTTTTGAAAGTCATTCAAACTTTTCTGTAAGAACACAGAAATATGGTCCAGCTTCTTTAATTTAGGTGTATTAGTTACTTACTATTGGTTATTTACCCACTGAATTTAAAGCTGGGGTGAGGGACAAATAGTGTGTATGAGATTTGGGAGTTGCATATACTACTTTAGAAACTAACTTGACTTACAAGGATTAAAAAACCCACAGAAAAATGTAACCTTTCTTTCTTCTAGCTTTCCAAGACCAACTTCTCCAACAACCATGATTTTCGGGCTCTTCTGCAATCACTGTATGCCACATTCGAAGAATTTAAAATGCATGAACAGATTGAAAATGAATACATCATTGGCTTACTTCAGCAGCGCAGTCGGACTGTGTATAATGTGCACTCAGACAACAAACTCTCAGAGATGCTTAGTCTCTTTGAGAAAGGGCTGAAGAATGTGAAGGTAAGATATCATAACTAGGCTAAAAGAAGTACTTCTCTAACCTTTAATTTGATGAGAAAATTTAAGAGGCGAGGAGGGGAAGGGAATTGGATTTTACTGAGGCTTTCTCTTAGCATGTCACTACTTTTTGGGTTCAGTAAGCAGAACTGCAGTGCAAGTTTCATTAGTATAACTGCTAAATGCATCTTTATCTTTTTCTGATTTTTTGGCTATAGCTCAAACATAAATTATAAAGATTTTTATTACAATAGCAGAAGGTATCGATATATCTGGCGACTCTGATAAGACTATCGTCAATCTGGGTCAATGCTTGCACTTAAGCCAGGGGTGTCCAAACTTTTTTCAAAGAGGGCCAGATTTGATGAAGTGAACATGCGTGAGGGCCGACCATTTTGCCTGACATTCTTTGAACCATTAAAATTAAATGCAAATTAACTATTTTATGCAAAGTTTATTGCAAACGGCATACTTTTCATTTCGTCACATGGATGACAAATCTAAACAGGTGTTAAATCACTCTGCCTTTCATATCTGAAGGCCAGATGAAAAAAAAATCCAGGAAGCTGAAATATATGTCAGGAACATTGTAAAGTACATTACATATTATTGGTAATAAAGGTTGTCTGTCAACTTTTAAGTTCAAAAAATATGAACAGGAACATAACACCAAGTATATATGTTGTGTCCAAATATATTTATAACTGATTTAGACCAACTGACATTAACTGAGATTTTACAATGTATTCATCTCAATACATATGGATTCGTTGGGGGCCATAAAAGATAGATATTGCCAAATTACCTGTGGGGCCGTATTAAACCGGAACACGGGCCGCAATTGGCCCGCGGGCCGGACTTTGGACATGCCTGTATTAGAGAAATGAAAGATTTAAAATGTTACAAAGCAAATAATGCTATTGACACACTATTTTTGTTCTTGTAAAGAGAATAGTTATGAACATGGTAAAAGACCTAGAATATTTTTAGTGTTCTATAAGAGAGATTTTGAGGACTTTCTTTGAAATCACAAAATTCAAACCTGAAAATTTAAAATAAGGTTAGTTTAATATCTGTGCTACTTGATTAAATATATGCTTTGGTTTCTGCTTACTCAGACCATAAATCTTTTCATAACAAGTCCCCAAAGTAATCTAAATCTTTAAAAATATATATACTTTTCTTGTATAGCGATAATTACTTTTATTATTATTTTTTATTTCTCCTGGGCTTGGCCCTCTAATTCATTTTGCCTAGGACGGCTACTAACATCCCAGTGTTGAGTAACTGTAAATGATTGCCATCTTTTGAGTTGTTTTCTGATCACCCTTTAACAAATATTTTTTTCACCCCAAATTTGGAATTTCCTGGGCTGTACACTGATCATTCTTCTTTCACCTTACCTACCTCACTTTATGGAATGAAAATTTGTGTCCTCTAGCATCATTTGGCATCCTATATGAAACTTGCTGCAAAACTGGTGGTGGGAAGGAGAGGCCATCTTCCTCCCAATGCTGCTGCTTCTCTCCATGCACACTGGCTTCCAGGGAACCGCCTCACCCCATGTTTGAACTCTAAACAATAACACTAGGATTCTTATACTAGGGGTACTCCTCCAGCTCACATCACATTTTGTAGAAATAGTTTACTTTGGCCCCTGGTACAACCTGCCAGTTTGGAGATGAGTATGGACACTCTCTGAAGCTGGGATGGGGGAGGGTAGAATTGGGTTGACAATGAAAACGCAATGCAGCCTATCCTAAGTGACCTTTGTTTCTTGATGATGATGATCAGAGGCCGTGGCGAATAGATTGTATTATTTGTCAAGCCCCGGTCATCATCTTTTATTGGCTTCTCATGTAGAAAACTAATGTAAAAGGAGAAACAGGAATTTTGGGACATCTTTGGTGTAAATATTTTCCTAGAGCTATTTGATCTGGCTTGAATTAAACAGATTGGACTGCACTTACGTTTTTCTCTGTGTTATTGTTAACTTTGAATAGATACATTTGTTTGTAGAAATTAGTTATAAGAAAAATGTAAAAATTAAGATTTCAATATGTTTCCTATTCTACATTAGTGTGGTATCTTTTTGTTTTATTGGTTTTTTTTATTATAATGCACAGTACAGGAGATTTGAATCCACCTATTGGATATTGTAGCTCTACAGAACAAGAGTATTAGCCCTACATTATTTCCTTTCATTTTCAACAGAGGAAAAAATCCACCGAAATGTAAAAAATAATTCTTGATGACGCATGGTTGTCTTACTGCCTCCCTCCCATACTATTGCAAAAGTCACTGTAAAAAATTTCCTTCTGTCATAATCTAGACATATTCCAGGGTCAGATTCTTATTACTGTAATACAGAAAGGGTAACATTCATAGACGAGAGGGGTCAGTTAGCAGATAGTCAAAATGTCAACAGTAGTGTATTTATTTTAAAAAACGGACTATTTCAAAGTAAGCCTTTTCTATATGGCACATTTATTTACATTTAATTTATTGTGATTTAACTGGGATATTACGTTAATTTATGTAGAAAATATAAAATTAAAATATAGAGCTAAGAGTATAATTTGTGCAGAATTTCCTATAGAACACACGTAAATGATTTAGATTACATTTAATCTTTGATTACTTTGTATTTTTTGGTATGCCTGTTATAAATTAAAGTCTACTAATCAGTTTTAATATCGTATGTAAACCTTTCAGTTATGTGATAGTAGAAGTCAGATATTTCATGTGTGATAAAGTATCCCAGAATTACAGTAATACAATATTTTTTAATTTGACTAATGATGGACTATTGACCTGTTGTGGATTATTGATGTGAAATAGAAAAGTAGTGAACAATCAAGTTTTTTTTTTTTTTAAATCCAGGATGCTTCATCCAAAAAATGTACTTTATTATGTTGACTAATGTCATTTTTTATTTGTGGTACTTCATAGCATGTACTATAGTACATTTTTAAATAATATTAATATGAACATACAGCTTTTCAGCAATGTTGTGATGTATTCTTTAGGATTTGTGGTTAGCAAAGTTCTTCTGTTTCTGATTAATGCATTTTACATTGTAACAGAAGAACTAAATTACAATTTTTCCAGTGCAGAAGACATCTGCTAGAGTAAAAAATAAGCAAATGATCTCAATACTAACAAAATTTTTGTATTTTCCAAAAATTAACTCAATTTTTCCAAAAGGGGCAGTACGTTGAATATACATTTCAGTTCTTAAACTGTAAGGAAAGCAGTTTTGCTTAAATCATACTTTTTTTGTTTCAGAATGAATATGAACAGCTAAACTATGCTAAACAGCTGAAAGAGAGGTTGGAAGCATTCACGAGAGATTTCCTTCCTCATATGAAAGAGGAGGAGGAGGTAGGTAAAAGTCTTTTAAAGCTTAAGCTGTTTTCTTATCTGAGTATTTGGAACTGCTGGTCCTCAAGTCCTGAGAGCTAAGGGAATAGATCAGTGTAAGCTTGAAAGCTCATCTTTTTTTTTTTTTTAACCAAAATAAGATGCTCCGATAAAAAGATATTACTTCATCCATTTTATGTCTTAAATATTCGTTAAATTATTTAAAATTCGAGGTCTGGTGAAAGTGAAATGGTTTTGGCATTACTAGCTTTTTGATAAGAAGTATTTATATTGAATGAGAAATGAAGAATACATGACATCTACTATGTAAGCTCAAGGCACGCTTACTTTTTATTTTATAGTCAATTTGATATACCAGTTGCCTCTTAGTCTCATTTCTAAATGAAACATGGAATTTTAAAGATGCTTGAATGATTTGTTTCTGTATTTTAAAATTATGAGAATAGTGAATAATGTACATATATGGGCCATTTTAATTTGACAGTTTTGATAGGTATTCATTTGGTAAGACGGTGGTATCTTAGGAATGTATTCTTTCTGTGTTAAAATATATAGTTGAATTTTTTTCTAAAGAATACCTTACATGTAATGAGAATATGATTTCATGCAAAGTGTATTTTTCTTAAATATAATGTCTGATTATTTTAAAAAGGTTCTCTATAAGAAGATCCAGTAAAACAGGCTAAAGATCTATGAACATTTTAAAGCAAAAACAAAAAATGTTTTATGCTATAAATCAGTGGCCCATGAATTAAACAGCTTCTCTCAAACTGCCGCATGCATATATTGGACATTTACAGACTGGTATTGCCAGTCTGATTCTGTTTTATGTGTATCCAAAAACTGGGAATCATCCTCTAGAGACAGTAAAGCCTCCCAAGTCTGCTCAAGAGAGGAGGAGGAGGATGATAATAATAATACTTTAGTGTCTTCTATGTTAGGATCTTAATATCTTCTGAGTTAAATATATATTTCTAGCTCCATTTAATGTATAGGAAGATTGAACAAACAGGGTGGATCTACAATAGAAATTTAGGCCAACCCAGCTAAGTCACTTAGGAATGTGAAAAGGTCACAATCTTGAGTAACATAGTTAAGCCAACCTAAGTCCTCCTGTAGACAGTGCAAGGTTCACAGAAGAATTCTTCCATCAAACTAGCTACTTCTTCTTGGGGAGATGGATTATCTGCGCTGATTGAAGATTCCCCTGCTATGGAAGTAGGTAGTTGTCTACAATGAAGTGCTACTGGGGCACCAGTGTAACATTTTAAGTGTAGACAAGTCCTTAATGATTTTATTTGCCCAAAGACATGCAATCAGTTGTATGCAGTTTTGGGATTATAATTCGGGAATTTCAGATTCCTATCTGATATTCATTCCTATGCATCATGTTGCTCCTTTTGTAATTCCTGTTGTAAACATTGTTAGAAAAGTTATATGTATCGTTTTAAATACCTTGTGGCTGCAGTGTGGTTTTCTTCAGTTGTGGATAACTGTCATTTATTGGTTTAGGTTTTTCAGCCCATGTTGATGGAATATTTTACTTATGAAGAACTGAAGGATATTAAAAAGAAAGTTATTGATCAGCATTGCTCACAGAAAGAAACTGAAGAACTTGTTAGAGGTCTTAGCCTTTGGAATCAGATAAAGATTTCTGTGGATGAGAAAACAGATCAAGGTGAACCATTTTTAATTAAATGGAAAGGAACTTTAAATTTGCAAGTATATTTAAAATAAGTAAAATCACTCCAGTGAAGAGTTGTCTGTATATTTGCTGAATGCTTTCACATGATTGTGTTAGTAAAGGACATCTTTCTTCAAAATTGCAGTGATATGTTGGGAAGAATATTGCTGTTGTAGATTTTCAGAAGTTTCCATGTGAGCACATTCTCAAGCTCATTCTTCCCTCTGCAATGCTTTGTCCAAATTATGGCAAACACACAGTTTTGTGTTTAACTTTTAATTTCATGCTTCCATTTCAGGTTGTATTTTTCTGTTTCCAGACCCTGCCTTCACTGCCTGGTTGAAGGCCTGGTCTGGACGTTTCTCAGTTGGTATCTGCAGAAGAGTAAGTCAGTTGACAGTACCCCACGTAACAGAACTCTCTCTCTGCCCCCACAATCCTTTTGCCTTCCTTGTCCAAGGAGCCAGCAAGGGAGGATAAGCAGGGAAGGGAGAGGGTTGGAAAGATGTTTCTGCAAGATGAATGACCGAATAAAGTGAAATTTCATTCACACTTCTAGAATGAAATTTGGCCAGTTCTGAAACACAACCTCACTTTTTTTCCTTTATGAAGCTTAGTATAGGATGGATCATTTGATACAGGCCTGTTGTTAGTTTATCTGAATGTTGGAGCATCAGTAAAAATTTTCCGATGTAAATTCTCTACCTCATAGCTGAGAAGATGGCCTAGTCATCTCGGTAGACACTTGTGGTGTTCCACAACACTAGGAATATTTAAATGGGGTAGTAAATAAAGCATATCCTCACTAAACTGGCTTATTAAGAGTAAAGAAGGTACTGTTCCACCTTCAATCTGTTCATGAAAATCTAACCGATTTTAATTAAAGACTGTAATCCAAACAGTAACAAGATTTAAGACTTTCTTTGAACCACTAAACTGATCAATTTCTACTTTATAGGCCAAGGTGACAGAGAATAAGATTATGGATCAGAATGCAAAATACTTCTTGGCTTCTGACCATTCTGATATAGGAGACATATATAGCCTGCTGGAATTAGCTCCTGCAGTCTCTAACTGAAGTGGGAATTTGGGGATAGTAGGACTTCTACAAGTTTTCTGTCCTAAGTTCAGTCAGCTTTGGTACTAAAGTGGATTTGTGGGGGAAACATATGTGAAGGTATGTGATTTTTTTTTTTTTTGAGGAATGTTATAACTTCCATCCATTTTAAAAAAGGGAAAAAGTATCTATCACTGATGTTTGTTTCTTGGGCACAGTTACTTTCTTTTGAGACAAAGCAAAGTCTATATATTTTATCTGTGGAAAAGTTGCCGAATAACACCTTAAATTGGAGAATGAATCAAGTGAACCTGTGCATGATTGCATTTTCCTTTCTTGGGCAGAATAAGACATTTTGTTGCACAAATTCTACGTCATGTCTTGCACTTGCTTTGGAGGCTTCTTGACACAGGAAAGAAGACCGCCTCTCTCTGAACGGTCATGTGAAACATCATAGCTGGTTTTTCATTTGACAGTTTTCTTGAACACCGTTTTTCTGAAGTAATTCAGCTCAGCTCTAGGCATATAAATAAATTGATATTTCCAAACGAACCAAGATAATAAATGTGGAACCCTGCAAGATGATCTCCCTTATTATCAGTCATTATGGGAAGCTCTGTTCTTTGCTATATTTCCTACGTAACACATTGTTTTATGTGTGCAAGTTAGAAATTTGGGTAGCTTTCAGAATATGAATGTCAAGTTAGAAAAGCCTAGTCTTAGTGACACCAGCAACTCCTGTAGTGTATTTATCAATTCCTTAGATCTTTTCTGTAGTAATGTCTTTGGTTTTCCAGTTTCCAAATAAGAAAACACATGCATTTGTGATCACTATTAAATTAAATTAAATATATTCAAACAGTTGCTAAATGTTTGCAAGCCAACATCATGTATTGAGAGTACTATTTCTGTGTTTGCTTATTTAGAAATCTGGGCGATAACCTGAGATTAGGCCTACTTCTGGTCTTTGGAACTACTGGAAAACTTCTGGAAAAAATCACTTTGACACTTTCCTTTATTACAAACTACTATCTCTGATACCAAGAATAGTAAGGTAGTTGAACTATTTTTGAAGTTGGGTCTATGAGAATTCACTCTTTTTTACAATCGGGAAGCACACATGCAAAAAATGTGAACCAGTTATAACACACTTACCTCTGGAAAAAAATCTTATTATTTTGGTGAAACTGGAAATGATAGCATTGTCTATGTGGGTCTGTTGTCTGAAAGACCTATTTAAGGTGGGTATCAACTTTCCTTTCTGGCTAGAGTTAATGATCCTAGGCTTGAGTAGAGGGGAAAAAAAGATGAATATTTAGCTTTCAAATCATTTGTACCACTTCTCATGGTCTGTTTTTCTTATGAATGTTCATTTAAAAAAATCTGATTGATTGCATTTTTCCTACCACCATTAACAGAAATTTCACAGACCCCTATC